AGGGAAGATGTTTGAGTCTTCAATTTTAGAATTATGGTGAAATGCCAACAAAATATAGGCTTTTGGAAAAATTAGAAGAATTTGGAGTTTAGTGTAATTTGTTAGCCAGTATTGGATTGATTTTAATTTTGAGATGTACTTTATTTAGTAGATGTTAATTACCCACTTTGAAATGGTTTTGATATCTCTTTACAAAAGGACTAATGACTCTAAAGATTTAAGAACATGTCAGGAAGAGATTATATATTTTCAAATTGCTCTTGGTGAAAGCAATCTAGTAGAAAATAAAAAATAATTGCAAAAATGCTGATCAAATTTGGAATTTGGAAAAAAATTGGTTCTTATTATCCAAATTTCTCGGCCAGTTGCCAAAAAAGTGGAAAAGTTAGAATTTTATTATTTGTTTTTTGTGTTTATAAACTTTAATATTTATAATGCTGGTTTAATTTAATTAGATATTTTGTGTAAGCTTTTTTTCTTAACAAAAGGTGAGTTATTTAATGGAATATTTTAAATTTATAAGTGTAACTATTAATGTATAAAATTATAAAATTATACTAACAATAAATAATGGTGATATGGCAAAATTACATTCATATAATCCATTTCATAGAAAATTAAATCATTAAATAGCAGAAATTCAATTAAAAAATATAAACTTTTTTAATAATTGATAAATGACAAATTTAATAAAAATTCAATTAAAAATATTTAAAACCATTATCGGTTTAAAACTTAATTAATTAAGTATTTTTATTTTATAATATAAGATGCAAAAAATTACCTTAAAAAAACTATTTTCCTTTCTTTTATAAAAATAATTTTCTTCATAATATTTTGTATTAAACTCTCTTTAGTGGGCAATTCCCAAATGCTCCTTAACTTGTGGGTGAATACCATGAAATGGTACCACTTATACCATACTTACTCTAAATTTAAGGGCAACAATGAAAACCATCATCCTCCTAAATTGGTAACAAACTATAAAGATTTTTAAATGTCCAAATTTATTTAAGACCCCTACAAAGGAGATGTCAGTGACATCTTTCTGGGCTATTTATGTATCATTCATAGCCTGATACTTAACTAGTTCATATGAAAACTGCATCCTAAACAAAAATAACAAGAGTTGGATTGCATCTAAGAACTGTTTGGCGCTAGATAATTTAGATAGCAGATGTAGCACCGATTTTGAAGGGAAAGGTGATGCAAGTCAATAGCTTCTCCTTATGATCCTTAAATGTCAGCTTCACATCATAAGTGCCCTGCATAAGTAGTGGCAAAATTTAATAGCAAGTATGCAATGAATACCTAGCATACACTATCTATAGTTATTTGGATTAATTAGTACCACAATAAGCTTCATGAGTTATTCAGCTCAAATGGCCTTGACTAGATTAACAAATAATAACAAAAACCATAGAACATGCTTGATTTGTATTGATATGTAACATTTGAAAACCAAATTGAATTAAGAGTTACAAAACAAAACTACTTTTAACAGTGCACCGAATAATCATTTTCTAGTTTGGTTTTCTGTGCTAAACCAAACATGGTTGTTCAAAAAGTATTAATGAAGTAAACCAAACCATGGACCAACGGAGGAACAATGCACCAAACATAAGGTAAGCTGTTTCCAATTCAATTTGGTGCTAGTTTTTCAGTTCGATTGAATTCGTTTCTTTTTTTGTGCTAAACCAAACCAGGACAACTTACTACCATCATTCACATCATAAAAGCAAAAGTATCAGTTCCGATTTGCAGTGGTCGATAATACATAACAGACAACCCTATGAATATCGAAAACAGTGTATTTTGAAGACAGAGAGAGAATCTGGACAGTGTATAGTGTGTGTATACGGGGGAGACTAACCGGTGGGGTATATGGCGGAAATAATTCGGTGTGAACAAGCATAAAGTTGCCTGCAGGCACCGGACATGGTGTTTCCTCACAAAGATCATGGAGAAATATAGCAGGTGGACCTTCCACTCCAACATACGAAATTTCATATATTAAGTCCCCGCTTTGAATTGGTTCAGCTGCATGAATTACATGAACAATCTCCACTCAGAGTTAATTCTAATAGAATAGCCATATTAAGCTTGAGCAACTCATTTAAACATAATGCATTGAAAGAATAGCATAAAAACACAGAGCCAGAAGATCATAGGAATTGGGGAAAAATCAGGAGAAGCATCAGCACTCACGCGTGTAAGCTGGGATCTTAAAGGTGAATGGAACTCCTCTCTCCACAGGGTCAGGTAATATTTCCACTCCCTTCACCTTTACAGCATAGGCTGCATTCGTATCTGCATAACATAAAATTCAAATTAAAACAGAGGGAGCTAACCAGCAATACAAGCAACAAAAACCCTAACCACACAGCTAGGTTAACAGAACAACACTTTAATGCTGTTCAAATACTCCTGTTGAAAAAAAAAAAATTGATTTCACTTTTTCTCAACTAACATGTTCCGTTTCTGATTGAAAAAGGAACTAATTTTGAATTTCAAACTCACAAACACCTTTTTCATTCCACTGCGTTATTTCAAAACAATAGAATCTGAAGGCAAGACTCAAAGGGTCGTCTATTTGATCTCATAGGGTAGTGCTGTTTTCCGTTAACAATAAACAAATCAGAAATGGTTACTGAACCCATTACAGTGTACAGAGTGGAATCTGTTGATGGAAGATCCCAACTACCTGGTAACTAAGACGATGCATGAAAGTTAAATGTTGAAGAATGAAACAAAGATGTGAACTTAAAGTTAGTTCAGAAAATTACCACAGTATCTGAAAGAAGGGTGTGGAGCATGAAATCCAGCTTGAGCATGAAAAGAAGAAAGCGTGAAAGTGATGAGTGTTAAGCAAAAAGAGAAGTATAGAGTGATAGAAGAGTGAGTAGCCATTTTTGTGGAAGTAGCATGGAAATGGTCTCGGCATGACATTATATTATATATACATTTAGTAATGTCAAAATAATAATAAAAGAGTAACTCGTGCTGCATGCAATCCATGGATGCTGCTATTTGTATTCTTAATTACATCATTAATTAATTAAATAGCCTGATGGCAACGGCTAAATGAATTTGAAATTTAAACAAATGTTTTTTATCAAACCTTAAGAGTATAGCTTTGACCATCTTTACTTTATCATTAGACATCTATTTGTTTTTTTTAAGATATCAGTGTTTGAGAACCTTTGAAATGAGAAATAATATTTTGTTTTTTAAATTTCCATAAAATTAAGTAATTATCACAGAAAATACAAATATCTTTGTAATTAATTTTTAATTGATGTTGTAAGTAATTTAATTTAAATCAGAAAAAGTTTGGATTTTATTTAGATTTTTAACCGAATAAAAGATGCTTTTATCATATGCATTTTTTAGGTACTTAAAAAAAATGCATAAACTTATAAAAATGCATAAACTAGTTTACATGTGAAGGTACTTAAAAAAATGCATAAACTAGTTTACATGTGAGAATTACGCGAACAAAACTAAATAGAAGAAAACTTCTTAATAACAGAAGAAAATGAAAACAACCAAATAAACAAAAACGGAACCGTTTTATTATAATTGTATAATTTATTTTTAATATGTGACATTATATAATTTATAAATTTATTATTATTTTAAGTAACTTTTATGTATTCATTTTCTTGAATAATTAAAATTTTAAAACTGTTTGATTGGCAATAAATTAATTTATTTTACAATAATATATATTTGTTTAAAAATATAAGCATAGTTGCAATTTATTTATTTATTTAGAGTTTAGTATGGAAAGTTTATCATTGAATTAATAAAATTTAAATAAACAAAGAGTCACTAAATGTGTAATTTAAGTTTAAATGTCTTTTAGAATAACTTCCTTCACTGTTTATATGATATCCAATATAATGTGATATAGCATTTGCTGACTTCTTTTCATGTCATTTTTTTAATTGAACAAATTTTACCTTTTAATAAATTATTTATTTATTTATTTAATAAAATTAGCAATGAAATAATTTTTTCTATTTAAAAAATAAATAATTTATCTCTTAAAAACAAGTGCAAAACTATTGTTATAATAAAATAATTATTAAAAAATATTATTAAATTATAAAAAATAAATATAGACAATATTTATAATTTTAATATGTAATTTTTATTTATTTCATAACTATTTTTTATTATAAATATTTATTTTAGTTTAAAAATAATTACTTAAAATGTTGTAAAGAGTATAATGATATATACTAAAAAAATTCATTTATAAATGTTATAGATTATTAAATTGAAAAAATCATACGTAATTATAAAAATAATTTTTGTAATATTATTATAAATATTTGTTTGTTATTTATTAATTTGAAAAAATCATATGTAATTATAAAAATAATTTTTATAATATTATTATAATTATTTTTTTTATTTATAGGTAACTTTTTATCATAAATAATTATTTTAATTTAAAAATATTACTCAAGAGTATACTTGTAAAAATTTGTATAAGACAATTTTGTTTTCTGTTTTCCATTATTTTGGTGTTAAGAGTTAGATTTCTACAAAATATAAGTCACCTTCTTTTCTTGTCTTAATTTCTTATATAGTTCATGTTTAAGGTAGTTTAATTTTATTTTATAATAGATGTTTAATTTCCTCTTTTTTTAACATAATAGATTCTATTTTTTTTCAAAAAATATGTGTTATTTTTTTTTCTACCTTTTTATTAACTTCTTATAAAACAATAGTGCTATAAAAGTAATAAAATTAAAATATTTTTTAATATAATAAAAATATAAATATAGATGTATAATATTTTGTTAGTGGTAATAAATTTGTTTTAGAGAATGCAAACAAAAAAAATGCACTGTCAAAAGTCAATTAAATTAATTTACATAAACTTCATAAAATTATTGGTCCATCTTCCTCTTTTTAATAATTATTTTTAACTTTTATTTTGTTTTATTACCAAGACATGATTCCCCAATGCTGTGCAACTAGGAGCTTTTACGAATCTGGCTCCTGAGATCGCTCTCGAGAAGAAGTAAGAGTGTGCAGATTCCAATTCCCAAACAATGAACCCCAATCCAACACCCTCGCCATACATCAGGTTTTTCACCTTTGATCTACATACATTCTCACATTTTCGCTTTCACTGTTTACTAATACTGCATCGCTTAATTCCTCAACATTAATTACATGCTCATTGGAAATCTGGTTTGGATCTCTGTAATTTTTACGCTGCATTTGATTCGATTCTTAATTGTACGTTATTATTTTCTATAACGGGTTTTGATTTGGCGGATGTTGAACTATTGGCCAAACGTGACTTGGAGTGCAAGATTCCGACGTGGATGAATCATGAATAAATGTATTACCTTCTCTCTTTTTTTTTTTTTTTTTTCAGGAATGGTGGTGTTTAATGCGTAGTGGGAAATGCAACGTGCTACACAGACTGCTGAGGAACGTTGGTTGGAAAGAGCGGTGAAGGAAGAATGCACATGGGAGAATCTTCCCAAACGACTCTATCCAGTTGTGTCTTCAAAAGAAGAATGGCACAAAAGGTTCAATGAAATTTATGTATTTAACAGATATTGTTTATATTATCATGATTCATTGTTTAATATTATAGTTAGTACTCAGGAGTTAGTAGTTATCGTAATTGTTATATCCGTTGATTAAGTGCTTGAGGAGATGCTTGAAAGAGCTTTAGTAGAGTTTATTTCGACTGATTGAAATAATTTAATAGATTATGGCTTTTGTAAGTATTTTTTTGGTTCATTTCAGTAAGTTTCAGGTCGAAATTATGATACAATCTCTAATGCCCTAATTAAGAACTTTTTGAATAAAAACTTGATTAACTTATTTGGCTAAATTTACTATTTAACTCTACTGCTGAACATTGCCTGCCTATGTTTCACTGAATAATTGAAAACTATTGAGTCTAAGGTGGAGAGCCCGCTTAACTTTGAGATAGCATTGCAGTTGGAAACTTGGCATCTCAGCTTTTTCTGCTCTGCTCATGTCCTTTTTTGGGTCTGTTTTTTTTTTTATATAAAGGGTTCAAAGGAATTAGTGAGTTTTTCTGCACTTTTGTGTAATTCCTCTAATTATACTAACTTTTCAAATAAGTTTCATTTTGTTTTCTGTAAACAAAATAAAACCAAGTTCGTAAGTTTTAAGATATCATGATTTTTTTTAGCCACTAGGTTTGTGTGTATGAAAAGGTGAGATTGCACACAAGTTAGAAAGTTTTATCAGTGAATTGTAGTACTTGGACAGGTCAATTGTGAAGAATTTCTTGTGTATGGTCTTTGCTTGAAAACGACCTTTTCATTTTTGGTGGTAAGAAACATATGTTTTAACTTTTGAAAGGGAGTAAATTTTCAAAAGGAATTAGGAAAGCTTTTGATTTTCAAAGGCCGTAATGACTTTAACTAGGAAGGAAACTAATATTTATCACTCGGAATGAGAGTGTTATGATATTGGAATCTGATTTCAGATCAGAACAACCTCACGTACCAAAAGGGAGAAATAAAAAAAAATAGACTTAATTATCACAATACTACGAATACTTATTTATAATAGCGTAATGCATACCTTGTTATCCTTGAGTATTAAACATTACCAGATTCTTAACCATTTCCTATTAAAACCTACCTAAGTCATACTTCCTATTATTGAGAAAAGATAAAGGATGCTTCTAATATTCCTTTTGGGTCTAATTGTAAGAATGAGTTGGCAGTATCAGACAGGAAATCGTCATTTATAAGTTTTTTATTTTCTATTTTTAAATTAGGTCATAAGTCAAAATGTAACGCTTTCCATTCATTTCAGGGCTCATATCTTCGTTTCTTGAATAACTTTTTCCAGTAAATACATGATTATAATCTGCTTTCTCAATTGTTGACCATGTAAGTTTTATGCAGGATAATCGAATACTGCATAAAGAAGAGGCTTAAATGGGAAATTTGTTTTGCTCGTAAAGTTTGTAAAGAAAATGAATATTATGAAGATATGATGCGCTACTTGCAGAGGAATCTAGCTGTATGTGTACTACAGAATGTCTGTTACTCTGTTTGATTTCTCCAATTGAAATTTGAAATTGTATATCAAATGCACTTTTACAAAACTTTATATGCATATGTTCTTATCCACATGGATCATATTAAAGAACTTTTGTGGAGAAAATTTTCAAAATCGAATTCTGACGTTGTGACTAAAAATAAAACATAATGTCTTCAATTTTAGGATAAGGTTTTAATAAATAATTTAATCATATTATTACATTATGATTTTATGAAAGAATTGTTCATCCTCCTCCTCAATAATTAAGAACTTATAAGTAACTATTCTTAGATATTGTGGGGCTCTGTTATGTTTTATTTTCTGTCTTAGGTCGTCTGTCTTTAATGTTCATATTCTCACTTGCAGCTATTTCCATATCATCTGGCGGACTATGTATGCCGTGTAATGAGAGTAACAGCTTTCAGATATTACATTGATATGATTTTTGAAGTCATGAAAAATGGTAATTTTTCCTTGCAGTTCCAGATAAATTGATTTCATGAATATTGTGTTTAACTAACTCTTGCTATACATAGCACAAAATTAGGCATATTTCTTTTCTTGTTATTATATTCCAGAGAAAAAAATGCTTTGTTGACCAATAATGAGTAGATAATTTTGTGGCATTCGCATTTGCACAAGTCTTTTATTTTTCATTTACACTATCAAATATTTCATGTATTGTGCAGTTATTTTTAATTCCAAGTAAATCGTAAGAAAATACAAATGGATAGAGAAAAAACATAGAAAAATGTCTAAAATTTAGGGAGGTATGGCTTTGGTAGTGTATGCAAAAAAATTACATCATAGAAGTGGAAAATGTTTCGTATTATAATGAAGATATGCATAAAGGAGCTTGGATTTAAAAGTTAAATTAAGGGAAGTTAGTAAAAATATTTTTAAAATTAAAGCAGTACGTGATCAAGGCATCAAATTCAAGGCTTTATAGTTGCTAAACCATAGCCAAATTGATATTATTAATGTAATAATTATAATAAAAACAAAAAATAATTAATATTAAAGAGACATGATATCATAATTTTACATCATCAAAAACTAGAAATAAAGCACCAGTTTATATGTTTTAACACTAAAAAACATACAAAAGTTCAAATAAATGTATTATACTATTCAGGTCTAAGTTTGAAAGAATGTATAACAATGTCCATTAGAAATAACAATAATCTTAGGTTCATTTTTTCATTTTTTAAAGAAAAAATGACTTTGTATTTAAGTTTGTTTACTAATCTATTGTTAGCCAGATTTTTAATGGTTTCTTTGCCTGCCATTAGTCCAATTCATTTTTCAAAAGAGGAGAGTAGAGAAAGCGATTAAACTTCTTTGACATATTTTTCTATTGTCACAATGATATCATAATAAAGGCATAATTAAATTATGTTCAGAAATTTCATAGTATACTTGCATTACCTTTTGCTTGATAGTCTGAACTCTGAAGGTAGATAAACTTGTAGACTAGAAAAGGTTTATTTGGTGGAAGCTAGCCTGTGGAAGTTTACTGCTTGTTTCAATTATTTGCAGAGCAACCTTATGACCGCATCCCGAATTTTAGTGCTGCAGATGCTTTAAGACTTACAGGAATCGGGAGAAACGAATTTATTGATATAATGAACAAGTGCAGGTCTAAGGTACTGCATAGATTGGCATGTACGTTACACTTAAATGTATCTTCAATACTGTGGATTACATGTAAGTTATTGTATACATATTTGTGTATGTCTAATTACCTACAGCAATCATGCCGCATATATCTTCTATTCTCTCTCTATGTATAAAGGGCTATGTATGAGGGGAAATTATAACTTAATAATCAGGATACCACTTGAATCTTTTTAATAAAAAAAATATATGACAATAGGTCGTGAATAAAGAAAGAGTACCAAAGTGTATTTTTCAATTTAAAAATTACAATTCTCAAATGGTTTTAGATGTGAGTATATCATAACCCATTTATACAGAGGAACATATAAATAAAAATATTTTTATTAGAGAGAAGTGAATCCTAGATATAAGATAAAATTATAAAGAATTGAAATTAAATCACAAGACAAATATGACTTTTTTATGTGGCAGTGTCATCATTTAGGTTTTAGATGCTGGCAAGTCAGACACAGACATGCATTATTAATATTTGTAACATAATTAGGAAATATAGTCTATGATTCTTTTCTAAACCTTTTGTGGAATATAAAACCAGGATAATTAGAGAAGCAGTAGAAAGAGAAGTAGAATTTGGAGAAAGAAGGAGAACGGTGGTTTCTTTCTTGTCTGCACATATACAACTTTGACCAGACTTGCAGCAAGCATGATGAACCATCGTATCAATTTATATTATCTTTGTTTTTGTTCTTTGCATATTTAAATCTGTGAAGTTCACTTGCTTTACTTTTATTGTTTGGATGATGATTTGAATTTGCAGTATAGCCTAAGTTAGTGTTAGTTGCCTTTATGATCAAAGGTAGGGTTGCAAATTTTTATGAGTCATGTCTCACCAAGCAATTGCTCTTTTGGAATATCCAGAAAATAATGTGGAAACTGAACAAGTCGATAGCAAAAGACCTTTTGCCTACTCAACCTGTGGATTTTCCAATTGAACCGTGGTGGGCAGTTTGCCTTGTGAACCTTACCTTGGAGGAATTTAAGGTGGGGTATGTTCTTCACCCTTATAAAACAGTGGAGCTTCACTTATTATGTGGTTAATTGGTAATAAGAATAACATGGAATACTATAATAATAACCTTTACGCTCTTCAAAGCGAAATCTCATGTTGTACTAATAAAAATTTAACCCATGTTTTGGTAGGGTTAATATGAAATTTTACCCAGTAATAAAGAATTGTATGTATTGTTTGTAGTCTAGTATTCCTCATAACTTTTTTGGCTTAATTACTTTTGTCGATTTATTCTCTACTTTTCTTCTACTTTATAGAAACTCTCGAAGGAGGAAATGGCGGCAATAGACAAAGTCTGTTTGGATGATGCAAATTCATTTGTCACGTTTGATCCTCACGTTATAAGGGGTCTATGCAGACGGGGACTAGTATATTTGGATGTTCCTGTTTATCCACACGACCGGTTTAAAGGTTTGTTCTATGGGTATTTTTCCCTAATATTTTCTAATTATCTTACCTTTGTCGCTGTCCTTTCCGAGGACTGAGTTTATTTTTTGAGCTTCATAATATGGACAAAGGTAGTTCATTAGCTCCGTTTGGTGACTTCGGTCTAGATTTAGGCAAGTGACCACAAAATTCAAAAAGTTAACAGATTTGTTTATGGGGGCTTGACTAAATTAAACCAAACGTATTGGAGGCCTAGTTTTATTTTTTAATTCAACTTGGTTTTTTCATAGTTATATTTACAAGAATAACATGATGAACACTTTCTCTTATTTGGCAGTTTCCTAAAAGGAACGAACCGGGATAAGTTTTTCACAAATTCTCCTTTCCTGTTCTTAACTTTCACAGTTTCTTGATTTCTTTCTTCCTTTCTCCTTTTTCACTTTCACATACATTCTGAATGATGAAATATATCCAGTGAAATTGAACCTCGATTGTTAACACGTATTATTTCATATAAATATCAATTTGAAGAAAAGTTCCAAATAAAATAGCCCAATATGGTCGAGTTTGATCCTTAGCCTCCAATATTTCAAATTGGAAAAGAAGATTCGTATCAGAAATTGGTTATCATTAGCTTGTGAAGAAATCATGTAAAGGATGGGTTACATTTAGTGTTTGAACCGAATAAACCCCTTAGAGATTGAATTAAGCCACAGAAACCTAAAACAACATGAAATTGGGCAGGAGTGAGCTGAGTATGTGTGACGACTTGATGTGCGCAACACAGAATTTCTAACTAAGTCTAGGATTACTGACTAGTTCTGCAACTAATAACACTTAATTAAATAATAGTTTTCTTCAATTGTTGGCATTGTGGTTCAGACTGAAGTAACATAGTTCTCGTATCGTTATCAAACTTAATACTCTAAAATGTTTGGAGATGTCCTGCCTTTAAACATGACAAGGAACCGATTCTGATTACAATTCCATGCATTGATCTGTATTGTCGCTGTATTATGCAAGAAGAACAAATAAATAATGCCTTTCATTTACCTGAACGAGAAAGGAAAAACCCGTAGATTTCTCAGTAAGAAGTTTCTCAAACTATAAAAACTTTAAGAAACTGATTTCTTTCAACAAATGTTTTCACACACGCGGATATGTAATAAAATCTCTTACCTGTGAAGGATTTTAGCATATATTAGTTAAAACCTGTGTAATTTATCCTTTCCTCTCTATCTTCACAAACATACCAGGCAATGAAACTTGAGCCCTCAAAATTGTGTCATGCTAAGCCCCAAGTTTTTTTCTGTTTTATTTCTTCTAGGAAATTATTTTGATTAAAAATATTTAAGAAATTTTAAGATAATTATTACTTTCATGAAACTTCCAAAACAAAAACATTATTTTAATATTTTTCATGATATATAATAGACTTTGTAAAAAAACTGTAAAAAGTTCCTGTTCTTTAAGTGAATGATGAATGGAGTCTTATATTCCTCAGGATTGATTAAATGAAGATATCTATAAAAGAAAAACAAAATTAAATGAGCTACATCTAATTAAATTTTAATTGATACAAATTGATAATAAGTAGTGGATATATAAATATAGTATGTAACAGAAATTTATCCCTGCTGTCGGTAATATAATATAACTACTTAGGTGTAGTTATAAATCTAAGGGTGATTAAATGTTATAAGGAACTTTCATACTTTAATTTAAACCAAAACAAATCTTTTGTACGGTGAAGATTTTTGTTCTGTGACAATATGTAGTACGTTATTTTCAAAGGCTGTATCTTATAAATCTGATTTCAATAATATTTATGTTTATGGTGGCTCAGTTTCAAAGCTTGAAGGTTTTGTTTCCAACAGGGAGCAAACTTATGAAGATCCTATTGAAGAGTAAAGTAGTTGTTTCAGTCTATGTTTCCATCAATTTTGTTCAAAGAGCTTATTTATTTCCATATAGTTGGACTCTAATGTAAGAGATTTTTTCTTTCAGGTTGTTGTATGCAGTTTTTGTAGTTTCAAATGAAAATGTGACGGTTAGTGAGTTGGCAACAACCCTACAGGCTGACTTGTCACAGCTGCAGGCTGCTAGTGCTTTTGTGTGTAGATTGGGATGGGCAACAAAAGTGATTGATCCAGAATCTATTATTGGAGATTCAACCATACTTGCATCTCCTATGAGTACATTTAGTGACGAAGATGGTTCTGTTGCTAGTCAAAACCATGATAATACGCTTTTCGAGAATGATTCCATTCATCAAGCGGATACCCCAGCTTCAGGGAACCATGCATCTCGTTCTTCCTACACTCGTGTTGCTTTCATAGTTGATGCTAATATTACATCCTACCTCATGATGGGATCTGTTTCACCAGGTTTATATATACCCGTCACTCCTTGATTCGTGAAGCTTAAAGTTTAACTATTTGCTATAATTTTCAGAATAATTTTTTGGTTAAATTATTCATTGGATCCTTTTTGCTGTGCCTATCTTAAGTCTTAATTTCTATACCAGAAAATTATAGGTTTTAATCCTTATATAATTTCTGTAGAAACGAAAGTTTATGTATCGGCGTTATACTATAAAAAATGTTACCTTCCTAGTATTAGTGCTTGCCATAGTTACCAAAACTTTACACTTACGAACATGTAAGGACTAAAACTTAATTTTCTAGTAGGGACTAGAATTTTAAAGGTCTGTCTAACTTATCTCAAGTAATTATGGGATTGAACAATTTCATTCAAAATTATCGGTATAATTCTCTAATATACTTAAACATGATTGGTTGCAAGTATTAATTGTATTTATTTTTTGGATGGGTTGCTTATCCCATTTTTACTTGAGACAAGTTATTCAGAGGAAAACTTAAAATAAGACAGTCACAGGGACTTAGTGCAGAGTTTAACCTGTTTTGTCAAAATATAAGTTATATTATTCTACAAGGCAATTTGGATGAAATGAATTATGCTACTCATTATGGCGTCTGAGTTGGTTTATCTTCTTCTTGCTTGTCGTCAAACTTGCAGGCCTGAAATCTCATGCTGTTACACTTTATGAAGCGGGAAAATTGGGTCATGCGAGCATTGCTGATCTTTGCAAGGATCTTAGTACCCTGGAAGGTGCAAGATATGAGGGAGAATTACAGGAGTTTGCAAATCATTTATTTAGTCTGCGTTATGTCTTAGAATGTCTTCAATCAGGTGGAATAGCTACTGATGAAGAAGAGGAAGGCTCTGATAACCTGAACATGATTACATCAAGCAATGATGGGCCAAGTTCTGTGATAGCTGAAATTTCTTTGGATGAAAAATCAGAAGAGTCTGGTGTTTTACAGACTGTCATGAGTAATGGGGATTTAATAAATTCTGTTTCAGGGAAATTCGTGGAGGCTTCAGTGTACAGTGAAGGTGTTCCTAGTACTGGTAGTGGGATGGATGATGAGGCTCATTCCAGTACGTTGGAGGAAGGAAGTGATCCTCACATTCAGGAAGCTGACAAGTCACACACAAGTTTCCGTGAGAATGAGAAACTACCAATGTTTGAAGCTGACAAGTCACACATAAATTTCAGTGAGAATGAGAAACCAGCAGTGTTTGAAGGTTCAGATGTCAAGATAGAAATGCTGAAAAGGAAAAAGATATATCGTGTGGACCTTCTCCGTTCTGAAAGTTTGGCTTCTCTTTCACCAACTACTCTTGATCGTTTGTTTCTTCGTGACTATGGTATTCTTGTGTCCTTAGTGCCTCTCCCCCCTTCATCAATTCTTCCTAAACCTACAGGAGGCCCTGTTCATTTTGGTCCTCCTGCATATTCTTCCATGAGTCCATGGATGAAATTGGTATTATATTCAACTGCAGGTAGTGGGCCTCTATCAGTTGTTTTGATGAAAGGCCAATGTATGCGCTTGCTTCCTGCTCCATTGACTGGTTGTGAGAAAGCCCTTATATGGTCTTGGGATGGTTCCGCAATAGGAGATTTAGGAAGGAAGCTTGAAGGAAACATGGTGAAGGGAAGTATACTTTTGCATTGCTTAAATTCACTTCTTAAACAGTCAGCTGTGCTTGTGCTGCCTCTCAGTAGATTTGATCTTAATCAATCTGGAAAACTTATTACTTTGGATGTCCCTTTGCCTTTAAGAAACGCTGATGGATCAATTGCCTCTGTAGGAAAAGAGTTAGGACTAGAGGATGAAGAGGAAAATTTTAAGCTGAATTCGCTGTTGAATAATTTGGCAAACAAAATGGAACTGTGGACAGTTGGTTATGTTCGGCTATTGAAACTATTTAACGGAACAAAATCAGACCAGTTCTCTTCCATAGAGAAATATGAATGGGTGCCATTGAGTGTGGAATTCGGGATACCGCTATTTAGTCCAACGTTGTGCAATAGTATATGTAGAAGGATAGTTTCATCTAAGATACTTCAATCAGGCTCATTTGGCGAACACCATGATGCAATGCAAATCTTAAGGACAAAGTTACGTGACATTTGTGATGAGTACAATTCAACAGGTCCAGCTGCAAAGCTTCTTTACAAGAAAGAGGAAGATACTGGACAACCTACGGACCAAGCTAGGGCAACATGGAATCCACTTATTGATATTTCTCCCGCTTCAGGGGTGGTATTGAGCGTGCGTCAGAGGTTAAAACTTGCTAACCAACAAAGCTGCCAAAATGAAGTGATGTGCTGTGATGGCAGTGTTCTTAGGTTTGTTGCTGAATTCCTATTAATCCGATGCTTAAAGTTATATATGTTTTCGTTTGATAAAACTTTATTTGCCTTGACAAACACAAGACAGAAAGAATGCTTTTCGTAAATTGGATTATCTAATCATCTGAAGTCTCAGAAAGTATATGCTCTTGCATGGTGCATGCAGATCATACGCATTAACTCTTCCTCATGAAGATGCCACGAGCCCAGTAAAAGAAACCCCTGAAGACAATAAGACAGAACCAGAACCTGAACCAGAAGCAAATGATAGTAAAGAAGCAACCCTTCCTGGCGTTAATCTTATTTTTGATGGTTCTAGGTTGCTTCCATTTGATGTAGGAGCTTGCCTTCAAGCTCGCCAACCGATATCCTTAGTAATGGAGGCAGCTACTGCCTCAAAACATGTACCATACAAATAGATTTGCAGTCATTAATCATTATTGACTACTTCACTTCAAATCTTTTACACACGTGAATGGGAATGCTTGCTAGCAACTCATGTTTAATGGCACTGTGTACTTCTTCAAGATTGATGGCAGTTAATGAGCGCAAATTTGGCCTCAGGTTTGAGGTAAATGGTCATTACTTTTCTTATAATGGTTTGTGTTTTTCTTGAGTGACATGCCAATACATTTGCATGTATTACTATATAAATAATGCATATTGTCTGTATCTGTTCCAGATTTTGCTAGATCAAGAAATTCAATCAATTAGAGCTGTGAAAAGAGGAAATATGTTAAACAATGTATATATATATATATGTTAGGATTTTTTTTTTCTCCTGTCAAATTTGAGAAAAACTTAATCGTTGGAAATTCGTTTCTTTCTTTCTTCTTACATATACTCATCAGTTGTGTTTTTACCTCAGTTTCTTCTTTGTTTATTGTTCATTTGTAATCTCTTTGTGTAGATTTTCGAAACAAATTAAAGGGAGGCCAAATACGATCATTGAGCACAACGTGTAATTAATAAGGATAAATTATTTATTGGTCATGTTGGATAATCAATTTACTTTAGAATATCGGAAATTTTTTTTTCCATTTTAGCTTTCAAAATTATTATTCTAAAATAAAAATATTGTAATGTAAGAAGTCAGCCTACCTTTAATTTAGTTTTTTCATAAGAACTGAAAGGATAAACCTATTTAAAACTAATTATTATAATTACAGAGTGTATTTAACTAAGAAAATAATTAATATAAAAATATTATTCTGATTTAAAAATTTTATTTAAATTATTTTTTTAAAAGATATATCTAATTTTTTTTATAATATCTCTGAAATTACAAGAGATTTATTGTAAGAGATCTATTTTAATTAGCCTAAATTTGATTTTAAGAGGTTTTATGTTAAGATAATACGCATCCCGTCTTTAAACGATTTTGCTGTAAATGCTGAATTTGTTACCTGACAGTTTCCTAATGTTATGATGATATACAATATCAAATCTTTAGTCGTACAAGACCATCCAAATTAAATAACTTATAGATTTTTACCATATTTTCAAACATTATATTGCATGACAAGAGAAACTCTAAAATCATCCTATCATTAATCAACTCGGTATAAAAACATTACACAATACCTCAAATTAACTATTATTGAATATATTTCTTAGTTTAATTCAATTAAAGAACAACTTATGGCTTAACCAATCCTAACATATAAACATCATTTGCTTACTAAACTTGCACATTTTCATATAGCATCAATAAATATGAAAAGACATAATAAGTTATTGAAAATTTAATTAAACAGCAAAAGGTTTCAAATTAGAGTTTCATTTTAGTAGGTTGTTTTTAATTCTCTAATAATATTTTTTGTGTTCTCCTTTTAAAGTAATTTTGATTATTTGTTTATAGAGTTTCTCTTATCAGTGCACACAAATGTAACAACATTTTTTATGAATCTGAATTTGGAATGGACAATTAATTGTAAATTAACATTGACTTAACTAAAAAGGGAATACAAATAAGTGTTACAAACATGTTATAAAATTATAACAAATACATACAATAAAAAATATTGATTTTTTGAAATTAGACCTGTTATTTTAAAATGTCCTAAATTGTACAAAAATAGCTTTATTCTTTTCTGAAAAATATCTTTTCATCATGAATCAAAGTGGATGAAATCCTTCCACATGATACTTTCAAAATATACTCAAACAAGATTTTGTTACAAAATAAATTATATTTTTTTTTAAAAAAAATCTTCTTGAGTTGAGTTCCCACAGTACACGCAAGAGATAAAGCGAAAAGGGTGAAAACGGTGTCGTATGAATGATTGGGAATTTGCGAAGCAAGGTTGTGTGTATATATTCAATGTGGGACATTGTGAAAGAGAAGAAGGGACTGAAAGAAGAGGGCAAGAATGGAAGGTGAGAAAGAGAATACCGATGGTAACGCCGCCGCAGCCATGGTACACTCTTTCTGTGAAATTACTTCTTCTTCCAAAGAAGAAGCACTTTTCTTTCTCGAAAGCCATAATTTTGACCTAGATGCCGCTGTTTCCACCTTCTTTGATAATGCCCATAACCCTATAATCATCCCTCAAAACGACGACGTTGTTCCAAACTCCAACCCCAACGCAGCCGTCACTTCCCCTCCATCCGATTCTCATTCTCCGGATTTTTACCCTTCGCGGTCACCATCTCATTCGCCGACTCCGTCACCGTCGCGTGCGCCCTACGAGCTCCGATCGCGCAGGTCTCTGGGCAAGAAACCTTCTTCCAGCCGCCAAGGTAAAATTCGAACCCTAGGTGATCTCAAACACTCCTCCCGTGACTCTGATTCTGATTCCGATCCAGATTTCCAACCCGACGAGTACTACACTGGCGGGGAGAATAGGTATTTAAAACAATTGTTTATTTTATTGATTGAAAAATTGAAATTATGAAAATTTGAGAGTGTGATCTAATGTAGCATTTTCATTGGAATTTTTATTTTTTTTCTTTCTGTATTTGATGTCATTTTCAGTGGGATGCTTATTCGAGATCCTTCCAAAGGGAACAACAGTGTGGATGAAATTTTCGAACATGCTCGGGAAGTTGCTGTTGATCCGCCTCCTGAAAACCCTCGAAATTCTTCAAGTTTCAGTGGCGCTGCGAGGTTGCTTTCTGGTGAGACTGTGCCGTCTGTTTCTCAGCGTTTAGAGGAAGTTGTACACACTGTCACGTTTTGGAGGAATGGGTTCTCTGTCAATGATGGCCCTTTGAGGAGTCTGGATGATCCACAAAATGCGCCATTTCTCGAGGTAAATGATCCATTACAAGCTCTTCTTCATAGGCTTTTATCCGTGTCTTGTATATTAATAAGCACGTCTTCAAAAGGTGCATGTGCATTTCGGTAAATGGTTTAACTAAGTTCTTAAAGAAAGTGTTCACTGAGTGATTGTAAGTTGTAGTCTCTTTTTATAGTCTGCTTTGAAGAGGTTACTGAAATAAGTTATGTTAAATATGCAACTTATCGTCATCGGGTCAGCTTATTTTTGTAAGTTTTTTTTTTTCTACTGGTACAGTATTTGGATAAAACTCTTCATTAGCATTTACAAGAAAACTAAATGGAAAATGGTGAAATGAATTAAGGTTTTTTCTTAAGTTAGAAACATCCTATGCAGTTAGATCTCATAGAAGTTCGTTTAACTTTTCTGGTGCATGAGCAGTGTTATTAAATAGCCGCTATATCGGCACTATATTACTGTTACATTACAGAGCTTATCGGATCTGTGTTAGCAATTTCGTTTGCTATTGTGGCTTCTACTATTGTTGTGGTTATGGCATGTGTTCTGCATTTTTCGCCCACCCCTCATCTCCATCGAGTGGTCTATATTCAATCGAATATCTGAATTAGTTTTTTGCCAAAAGAACTTTTTATTGTGATTTACTACCTACTGAACTTTTATATATCTATAATTGATATATCATATAGTTCAACAACCTTGCAACTTCTGCTATTTGCCTGCAACATTAGCCACTATATGATATAATGCATTGTTGGCTTTCCACCATTTTGACTGCAACACTTGTTTGCTCTACGTTATAGAGAATTGTTTGTTTTCCATCATTTTTCATAGTTTGCAATTGATAATATTGCATACGTTTATTTTAGTTTATAAAAGAAGAATTCAATTAATTTCACTTTGTTATTTTCTTTTACTTAAATTGTATATAAAGAAGATTATCCAAATAGAATCTCACTCAATAGCTTAGGACATAAAGGAGTTTCAATTCGTGGCACTTCTTGTTGTGACTGCTTTCACATACTTGCAACTTGTGAAGTTATCATTGTCTTCTCATTAAGTTATAATTATTTTACATCAATACAGAGCATAAAGAAGTCTGTGTGTCCCAAAGAGCTTGAACCAGCCGATCGAAGGACCGCTGTCCATGTCAACCTCACAAGGCGGGATGAAGACTATCCAGTACGCCTTTTTCTATTTTTTTTCTTTATAGTTGGATTTGTTATCTGACTTATATAAGGTTTTTACCTTTCTTTTTTTCCTTTTGTCAATGTTTATGTGCAGGAACCGGTGAAGCCACGCCATCTTCCTTTCCAGGGTGTTGGAAGAACCTTAGGTGGCCCCAGCTCCAGCAGCGACGAAGCTACTCAAACAACTGGTGCTTCGCTTACTACTGCTCCACTGCCAACATTGGGGTTAGTGGTAGACGAGTCACAGCCAGTAACATCAATCCAGCTGAGGTTAGCCGATGGCACACGCATGGTTTCTCGCTTCAATCACCACCATACAATCAGAGATGTTCGTGCATTCATTGATGCATCAAGACCTGGGGGAGTGAGAAATTACCAACTGCAAGCAATGGGTTTTCCTCCTAAACAACTCATTGATTGGGACCAGTCTATTGAGCAAGCTGGGATAGCCAATTCAGTTGTAATCCAGAAGTTGTAGGTTGTTTACCAAATTTCTATTTCCAGTGGACTTGAAAGTATTATTCTTATGTTTAAACATTGATTGATCTACTTATATTCTATTAGTGAATTTGATAAAATGTTCATTGATACTCCACTCCAAAGTTGCGTTTACAAAACAATTGCTGTTCGGTCAACTTTAATTTCTGTATGCTTTTCTAGTGTTGAATGTTTTGCACAAATTGTAGTTTGTTAACTAAGGCAATTACTATATAATAGTTACAATCATGTCATGGCTGTTCCTTGTGGAATTTTGAACTGGGGTAAATTGTAAATGTATGTGTATTTTTTTCCTTTTTTACGTTGATTTTCTTATAAAAAATTATTGCTTTTGCAATTACGCAGAAGTTAATCTGATTAGGACTGCGTACTTTTGTGAGGAGCAATTATTATATTTAGTACTTATATTTTCTATATAGGGTTCCTATTGAGATTTTATGTTTTATGTGTGTTGGGACTATGTTTGATAATCTATAGATAGGATTCCTTAAGGAGACAAAGGTTGGTTTACTGGAGTGCGAGATGCTTCACCTGTGAAGGAAAACAGCAATTGATTTTCAAACGTATTCGTGAAAGGTGGAAAACAGCAAGAAAGTAAACTCGGCACTTCTCCTACACTTTAAAATTAACG